AGGTCAAGGTACTAAGCAGTGACAGATGCCTCTCCCTCTAGCCCTGAGGAGGGAAAGGGTCAAGTGGAGGCAGAGGGGACAGAGAGATTAAAAGACGGGCCAACTTTCGATGGATACTTCTCTAGTTTCTTGTTCTTGGCTTCAGAGGGGACTGTGGGACTAGCATGTCAAAACAGGAAAGTGAGATGGAAACAAGTGGGCAGTTGATTTCAGCTTCTAAGAGTCCAAGGCTTCCAGCCATGCCAAGGGCTGGCCGGGGGAAGGGGGGGTGTTTTGTCAGAGACCGAGTGACCATCTGGTAGTGGATGCATGATCCAAAGACCCTCCCAGCCCAGAGACCTATATGCACATAGGAACACAGAGTCCCGCCTCTCCTTGGTTATTCTTTTCCCATGTCTGCCTCCGTGACCAGTGCAGCTTCCTCGCCATCGGAGACATACCCACTGAGTAGGAATGTCTGAGCCTGGCCCTCATCTGTCCCTTCCAACACAATGGATGCCCTGGGGATTATTTTCTCTCTTTTGTTAGAACTGGTGGTTTCCTCACCCAGCTAGAAAATGTAATGCCCTTAAAAAAAACACAGCGAGGGAGGTCTGAGAAGTGTGGAGTTAGTGCCCATCTATCATGTACCCAAAGTCAGCGAGGAGGTTGGAATACAAACAACCCATCCTCATCATGAAAGGTTTAGTCCAGTACACCTCCCCTTTCTTTCCCCACCCCCCCGATACCATCCACCCCCTCGATTGCTTCTAAGGTCCCTAACTTGTTGGCTTTTATTTGAAAGCCATCAAATGAGCATGGACATCTACAGAGCTGTCTATTAGGCATTTCCACCCTCTCCTGACATACTCTGTGCCTTCTTCCCAATAAGATAGTGATCTGGAGACTCAACAGATAGATTGTCACTGCCTGGGGGCTCTTGCTCACCTGTGGCCATGGAATGGGACAGGCAAGGTTCTACATAAAGGGATTGTGGTGTGAGTTCAGGAGGGTTCTGGGAGTGGGAGGGTTCATCGGGCGTTACTGTGAAATACTTGAAAGGGTGAGACCTGATTGAGGTACAGTGATTGATGTTGAGAGTGGGCTCCACTTAGCTTGACCTCAGAAATCATATAGCGTAAACATCTCAGGGGAATGAGTTGTTAGGACTCATTAAGAGTTGTCATCCTCCTATATAATAAAGAGCTAATATGCTAATTAGACGAAACAGCAGAACAATGGTCCTGGCGCCTGTCCCGATAAAGCCAGGGCTGCGAGGGCCAAGCCCCTTGCATGAATTTTGTACACCAGTCCTCTAGTTTATATATCATATTTCGAATGCCGAGTTTCAAAACAACCAAATGCAACCAGATGCTGAACAAATTCTGTTCTGTCTTTGAAGCCACATTGTGATCGATACAAAGATTTGGGGTTTTCTTCTTAAATATTGATTTTTGTTGTTGTTGTTGTTGTTGTTGTTGGATAGGAGATCACCAGGAGGTGGAAAGAGAAATGGACTTGAATCTAAGTGACTTCAGAAGTTGCTCTTTAGAAGAAATCCCTGCTACTTAGGTGGCCTTCATCTCTTTTTCTCTTAAAGTTGGGTGCAGGGAAAAATAATTCCAGTCTTTAGAGATTGCTGGCTATTTAGAAGCTGAAAAGAGATTGTATTCTTTCCTGTGCTCTGTGATGCAAGTGATTCCTGTGAGAAAAAAGGTGAATGAACGGTTTGCCTTCTGTCTGGGAGGAAGAAAATTTGGGTCTACCTCATGCTAACAACAAGGCTGATTAAGTTTGGATGTCAACGTCAAGACAAGTTGGGGCCGAAACCGGTTTGGCTCAGTGGTAGAGCGTCGGTCTGCGGACTGAAGGGTCCCGGGTTCGATTCCAGTCAGGGGCATGTACGTTGGTTGCGGGCACATCCCTGGTGGGGGTGTGCAGGAGGCAGCTGGTCGATGTTTCTCTCTCATTGACGTTTCTGGCTCTCTATCTCTCTCCCTTCCTCTCTGTAAAAAATCAATAAAAATTAAAAAAAGACAAGTTGGGGACTAGAAAATATTATGCATACTCAGAAGATATCTCAGATAAGGGGGAAAGTAGACTCCTGCAATTGGAGAGTTGAGACTGGGAAGGATGAATCTGGAAAGATTTCTGTTTTCTCTGAAATCTTCGTTAATAATGACATGGCTGGGTGCCACGGAGGTCATGGTGTGGTCTCCACAGTTCAGGGAGACCCAGGCTCATGTTGGATGTTGACGAGAACACAGATGCGTTAAGGCTAAGATCCCAGACAAAAGCAAGTTCTGGGACCTAGGCGCCATAAATCCTGCACGCTGCACACCCTCCCGATGGAACTCTGACTCGCTTCTCTCAAATGGGTGAGGCAGCCAAAGCTGGTGTCCTCTTCCCCGCCCTCCTGGAGTTTGTGTGACATCCTGTTGCCACAGTGGGTTGGTTCCTGGGCCTGAGTGGTCCCCCTCATCAGGTCACGGTGTCCTCCAGGGCTGAGCAGAGCAGAGTGCTCAGGGGACTGTCCAGATGGGAAAGGGCAGATCTACATCTGCAATGCTGCTGGCTGCCACAGTTGCCACCCCTGCCAGCATTGGCATTCTTGTACATTATCTCTGTTTTTAGGGAGTGGGAGTAATAATAGCTTACTGAGGAAGACTTGGAAAGTACAGAAAATTGCAAAGAAGTAGATCCACCTATAATGGATAATCACCCTTAAAACTTTGGTATATTTCCTTCAGGTTTACTGGGGCTTGTTTTCAAAGCATGCTGGAACCATCAAGTAAATAACATTCAGACCTACTTATTGTTCACTCTTCATTGTATGAGGTTCATTTTCCATGTCATAAAAGATCTTTCAAAAAGATTTCTCTCCAGATGAGTAGCATTCCATTATATGAATACGCCATGGTTTATTAAACCATTTCTCTAGTATTAGACATTTGGGTGTTTTTCCTTTGACATTATAAACGATACATAGACAGCTTGGTGGGATGCAGTTTGCATATTTGGTCTGCATCTCACTGTTCTTCTTTTTTTTTTTTAACTTTTCAACATTTTGACAAAATACACATAACAAACTCTACCATTTTAACCATTTTTAAATGTCCAGTTCATTGGCACTAAGCACATTCCCATTGTTGTACAACCATCACCACTATCCATCTACAAAGCTCTTCCCATCTTCCCAGGTGGAAACTCTATACCCATTAAACACTGAGCCCCCACTATCTACCCCCCAAGCCCCTGCTCCCTAGCTCCCAGTAACCATCATTCTACCTTTGACCACTCATTTGAATGGAATCATACAGTATTTGCTGTTTTGAGAGCGGCATATTTCACTTAGCATGTACCTCATGTAGCTTATGTCAGAATCTTCTTCCTTTTTATGGCTGAATAATATTTCATGTGTGTATAATCACATTTTAAAATCTAATTTACCCATTAATGGACACCTGGGCTGCTTCCACCTTTTGACTATTGTGAATAGTGCTGCTGTGAATATGGGGGTACAAATTCTTATTGAGTCTGTATTGTCAATTGTTTCCCAAAGGATGTGCCAGTTTATTCACCACCATTAGCATAGAGACACTTTTCTTGCCACCTTTACCAATACAGATATTATCATTAAGAAAAACATGTATGCTGCCCTGGACAGTGTGCTCAGTGGTTGGAGCTTTGGCCTGTGCACCAAAGGGTCCCAGTCAAGGGCATGTACCTGAGTTGCAGGTTCATTCCCCAGCCCCAGTCAGGGTGCATGTGGGAGTCAACCAATCCATGTGTCTCTCTCACATTAATGTCCCTCTCCCTCTCCCTCTCTCCCTTTAACTCTAAAAGAAATGGAAGAATATCTTTGGGTGAGGATTAATGAAGCAAAAATCTATGCCAATGAGACAATGTGCTACTTTGCCTTTCTTATTACTGATGCTGAATATTCTTTATGTGTTTGTTTTCCATTTGGATCTTTTCTTTGAATTATTGTTTCCTGGATTGCCCCAAATATAATTCTTTGGATCATGTCAGTTAGACAGACTTTGGTTTCTTCCCTGGCTTTTAAGACAAATCATCATAACCTAAGGGAAAAAAAATTTTTTTTGACTACCAATTTCCTAGACACTGGTGTAACCCAGAACCCTCAAACTCCAAAGAATTTCCTCTCACCCTTTTGGTCTGTAATGTCCACCTCTCTGCAGATGTGTCATCTCACCTTTTGGAGGTGAGTGAGGTCGCAGGTTGGCTGTTAGAACTGTCAATTCAGGGAGGATGGGTGAGGGTCATAGATTCTGAGGGTTTGGCAGAGCTTTAAAAGTTATCTGGACTTGCTGAGTGTCCAGATAGGAGACATAGGAGCCATGAGTTCTCATGGGAATAGACCTCACAGTTCCATCTCCCATTTATTAGCTGTTCAACCTTAGGCAAGTCTGAGCCTCAGTTTCCGTATCTTAAAATACTTCAGTTAACCAGTGGTTGCTAGCCTTTCCTCTTCTGTCCCCACTGTCCCCATTTTTAAAGATTTTGATCTTTAGCATTTATTAATTGACCCCTTGGGCAGCCTTGTCTCATGAGTTATTTCTGCTAGATTTTGTGAAATACTGAAAACTGTTCAACAACCCACTCTTACGACCATAAGAGACCTGCAGGTGTTGGGGTTCCCCTGTGGTTAAAAGTTAGTGAAAAGGAAGTGATCTGTCCGTTTTTCAATCACCTTTTATCTGGTGTTGAATCTTATATTTAGAAGAACCTGGCAGGAAGGCAGGAAATGTGTCACATCCAGTCTCAGAAAAACGGAGATTTTAAAGTCTCAGAGACTAGCTTAAGGTCACATAAAACAGTGACATTGAGAAAAGGGATGGGCCCTTGCTGGCATTCCTTTCCTTGGGAGGGCAGCTGCCCTGCAGACTTTTGCATAAGTCCACATGCTGGTGGATTTTTAACCACTGTCACTGCCCAACACCAGCGGGCACTCACGAAGGAGTGGCTCACGCATTCTCACCTGTCCTCCTCACCCCCAGGTACGTGGTCATCTCCAGGGAGGAGAGGGAGCAGAACCTCCTGGCATTTCAGCACAGTGAGCACATCTACTTCCGGGCATGCCGGGACATCCGGCCCGGGGAGTGGCTGCGGGTCTGGTACAGTGAGGACTATATGAAGCGCCTGCACAGCATGTCCCAGGAAACCATCCATCGCAATCTGACCAGAGGTGAGTGCCCACCCTCTTTGTGAGGACCATGCCTATGCCACCAAATCCCTGGGAGGCCAAGAATACTTCTCTAGAAGCGTCCTAAGAAAACTGAAGGGAAATGCAGTACACCAGCAATGGGGAGACCCGGAGGACAAACAGATGGTCCAGGTCTGAGCAGCAGCTCTGGGCAGTGTTGTGGGGACCACTTATCCTCCATGAGGAACCGTCTCAGAAACCCTATTACATATGAATGTCTTATTATAAACTTCAGAGTATCATGGAGAGAGCAAAGTACATACATTTAATCAAAATCAATCCTATCCCTTCCCCCCCCTCTCAAAGTGATGGAAAGGTGCTATAAACGGCACTGCTGCAATAATACGTAATATTTACTAAGGACTTAATATGTGCTAAGCTTATGTTCCATCATGTTCCATGAAATCAGGGCAATAGGAGCAGCTACCTGAACCTGTGCTAAGAGAATTGGCTGGTTAGAACACATTTAGAACAATGTCTACCTTGACCATTGTAAGCCCTCCATTCTAGACTTTTAAAACTAATGATTCATGTATAGCACTTTGCAAAGCATGTATCTCCATCTTACAAATGGCAAAACTAAGCATCAAATAAATATAGTGACTCACCCAGAGCCGAATGGTTAGGAAGGGCAGAGCTGGGTTTCTAACTCTATTTGTTAGAGTCAAGGGTCTGAGCCCTAACCTATGTTATATGAACTGCCAGGCAAAACTAGTCCCCCCACCCCCCCACCCCTGCTTCCTCCTGGTCTCATTCCCAAAAGTCTAACGCTACATTGTGAAAGAACGGTGTCTATTAGAACAAGAAAGTTGGAAGGAGACGACCTTAGGTGTAGACGGTGGCCTGATGGGTAAGATGTCCATCCGGGCTCCATTTAAATGAGTCATTTGAAAATGGCTTAAAATTCTCCCAGTCCTAGCCCTTTGCCTCTTTACCCCATCCTCAGCTTGGCCAGGGCAAACTGGTGAGTCCAGGTCCTTCTTTCCATGGGACTGCCTTTCACTAAAACCAAACCTTCAAAGACCCAGAGTCCATTTGGTCCCAGGAACCAAGGCTATCCCCAGGCCCCACTATCATATCCCTGACCAACCTACTTTTTGGAAATAAAGCACCATTTGGAATATGAGTAGAGAAGATGAGAGGGGGTAGGAGTGGCCCACTGAAATTAAGCTACTTTTAAAAACAACAAAGCAGATTGTGGACATTGAGTGCCCAGCAGCTGCCTGACTTGGTAAAAGGTATCTGGTGATTGGATGGACAGTGAGAAGAGATCCAATAGACATACTTATCTCTTGTCTTTTTTGGATGTGGGGGTTGGGCACATGCATTTTCCCCATGATGAGATCGCCATGGTTTCCAGTTGATCCCTGGAGGTGCCTCGTGTAAAATCATCTGATACATAGTAGGTGCTCACTCTTTGTTGAATGGATAAAAGAAGAAACGAATGAAGACAACCAAGAAGTCTCTAAAAGAATCATACCACCAAAGAGGAGAAAATCAAGAGAAGTCATGTCAGAGGACACAGGTTCCATCCTTGGGCCATAATCTTTTTGAATTCTTCTGGATTTGTCATGTCCCTCCCCCCCCAGAGTCTTCTCCAAAGCTGCATCATCCTCAGAGAGCCCTGAGACCCCGGGGGAAGGCTCAGACAAGGGAGTGAGTTTTCAGGGGTGGTTCAGAGGAGCGTGGCAGACAGACTCGACATGAGATACACCTAGACATGTGAAGGTACAGGAGAAGGGAATACCTCTTCCTGGCCAGGCTGAGAAGTAGGAAACAGGAAGCCACTGTGGGGCAGGGCCATGGCAGAAGGTAGGTGCTGAAGTCCTTGTGAGCAGTTGTGTGGCCTTTGGATGTTGTGTCTCTGTAACCTGTAGTTTTGGCAGATGCTGGAAATGGGTAGCGGTGTCTTAGATCTGTATGCAAGTCCTGCTCTGAATGGGGGATTCCCCCATGCTCAGTCCCTTAAGGTCTTACTTGGAAGGAGACTTCTTTGTAATTGGAGGCTGGAGCTCTGATAAAGGCTAGAGCATGGATTATTAGTCCTTATCAAATAGGGACATTAGTTGGTGCCAAGAACTGCTTCCTGAAGACTATAGACATTATTTCTTTGTGGTTATCTTTTAAGAAGAGGAGCATCTAATGTGTGTATGTAAAGAATTCGTGTTATTTGGTCGACTTTGAGTCATTGATTTGCGTCATGGTGTTTTTCTCATGTTTTATGGAAGTGTGAGAATCCAAAGAGGCCTCCTGCTCATCTTATCACATTTGAATGAGCTTTTCTCTGAGCAGAGGAGCATGAGGAGTTCCTGGTGATGAGTAGACTTGACCTTCAGACATCCTCAGCTGTTGGCTGCCTGATCGGCCCATGAGAAACAGGAAGGGTGGCCTTGTCGTTTAGAGAGATTCTGAATGAGCAAGGGTCACATATTGTATAATCTGCACCAACATATTGCATTTTTTAAAATTATTATTATTTTTTATTTAAAGTCCAGTTGTACCCCATTTAAAGAGAAATCAACCCAGTAACGCTGGCTCTGGGCCTAGTACATTGTAAGCATGTTACTTTCCATCTCCTTTGTTGGCACTGCTTCTGCTATGTTTTTTAAAAAATATATATATTTTATTGATTTTTTTTTTTTTTTTACAGAGAGAAAGGGAGAGGGAGAGAGAGTTAGAAACATGAATGAGAGAGAAACATCAATCAGCTGCCTCGTGCACACCCTCTACTGGGGATGTGCCCACAACCAAGGTACATGCCCTTGACTGGAATCGAATCTGAGACCCTCGGGTCCACAGGCTGACACTCTATCCACTGAGCCAAGCCGGTTAGGGCTGCAATGGCTTTATATCTGTTTCTTTCCCTCATATTCTCTGGAACCAACCTGCCTCGGTTTGAATCCTGGTTCTGCCACCTACTAACATATTGCATTTTTAAAAACTTCTCTTCATTGGCACGCTTTCTGTCCCTCAGCTGTTATAGAAATGCTGGCTGAGGGGAGGAGCACCAGAGTATAAGGAGCCTTAGAGATGAGATCATGCCCTAAGCAGTCACGTGATCTGCTTAGGACAGAAAAGGCGCTTTCTGAACAGGTTACTTGCTTTTGGGCTGCTACCTGTAGGAAATCTGGAGTCATACCTGGGCCAGGGCACAGCACCCCATGCCAGCTGTGGGAAGCTGAGGCTTGGCCACAGCGTGGCTCTGGTTTGCACAGAGGTCCTTTGGCCTTCCCTCAGAGGTCTTTCCAAAATGCAGCTATCAGCAGCCTAATTGCAACATATGAGTAGGTTAAGTCTTTGCTCAGTCACATCTCCCAGGGCCTTTTCCTGGTCTAGGAAGCCTTTAAGATTTCCTAGCTTCACAGGCTGCTGAGGACTCCCCACTTAGCACTGTTGCCCCACCCCCACCCCCACCTCAGGTAGTGTTGTACTTCTGAGCAGTTTATGATATTGTGCCAGCCATTGTGAAAATCTGGCTAAAATAACTCATTGTTGGGGTGCTCACCAAGGTGTTGTTAAGTCATTTACATGATAGGAAGAAATAGAAAAGGAAGCATTGTTTGTATTGCCAGGCAAGGAAACAGCTATATTTTGAGAATGCTTTGGGTCAGTGTGGCCATGTTGTTCTTTACCCTGCTGGAGGTGGCCCATCTTGCATTGTCTTCCTGCCTCAGCCGGCACACTTTTCTCACATACTGCTCGTTTTCTGACTGCTGGGAGAAATAGAAAGGACATTTGCTCTAGGCGGACTTTGCCCTAAGTGGGCCGACTTCAGAGAGTGAGGGAGGAGGAAGCAGCGGGACTCAGTATTTCGTGTGTACCTTTTACCAAGTCCAAGCAGCCATCTTCTAATTGCTAAGACTGGACCAGAAGCCTGGAGGGGTGGGGGTTCCATCCTCATTTAGCTCTTAGAAATGTCACTACCCATTCATTGGATCGAGCAAGAGGCAAGTACCTCCCAACTACCTTCCCCCATAGCATTTTTCTCAACTTATTAAGTTTAGAGCATGTATACATAAGACTCCATTGAAACTGTCTCTTTAAAGACTTCTCTGCTTCTTTGGGGTCCTATGATCCCATGACCTACTGAGCGATCGCCTCTCCCTTGTTGCCACACCTGCCCCACGAGGCCAGACCCAGAGGGATGTGTCCAGCGACTTCCTAACTGGAGGCCTGCATTGCTTTCTGCCTGTTTCTCCACCTGGGGCTTTTCCCCACTTCCTCACGCCCTGGTTTTCCTTCCTAGGAGAGAAGCGGTTGCAGAGGGAGAAGTCTGAGCAGGCTCTGGATCACCTAGAGGACCTGAGGGGTCCCATTCACCTCCCTGTGTTGAAACAGGGCAAAAGTTCCTACAAGCGTGGCTTCGACGAGGGGGACGTGCACCCCCAGACCAAGAAGAAGAAGATTGACCTCATTTTCAAGGATGTTTTGGAGGCCTCGTTGGAATCTGCCAAGGTGGAAGCGCACCAGCTGGCCCTGAGCACCTCGCTGGTCATCAGGAAAGTCCCCAAATACCAGGGCGATGCCTACAGTCGGTGTGCAATGACCATGTCGCATGGCATGCAGAATGTCAGCCGGACCCAGGGGGAGGGGGACTGGAAAGCCCCCCACGGGGCTTCTACGGAGCCAGGCCCATTGGACGATGAAGAGGAGGAGCCTTCATCCTTCAAGGCCGACAGTCCTGCCGAGGCCTCCCTTGCATCCGACCCTCATGAGCTTCCCACCACCTCCTTTTGCCCCAATTGTATTCGCCTGAAGAAGAAGGTTCGGGAACTCCAGGCAGAGCTAGACATGCTTAAGTCTGGGAAGCTTCCTGAGCCCTCTGTATTGCCAGCGCAGGTACTGGAGCTCCCAGAGTTCTCAGACCCTGCAGGTAAGTCGGTGTGGGTGAGATGGTGTCGGAGGGAAGAGCACATGGTGGGCAGGGTGAGGGTGGCCGGTGCTCTCTGCAGGAGCCACCTTTGGGGAAACCTGAGGCATGTGACTCAGAGGGGAGCTCTGGCCACAGCCCACACCCTCAGGTGCCCGCCTCTGACAGGTAGCTTTGCAGCTCCTGTAGGTGCTTCACGTCTTGCCCTGTATTCTCGTCAATAAAGGACATTCCGCTGCAGAAGGGGTGTGTGCTGTTTTCTTGAACCGTTGCCTTTCTCTGGTGGTCCTAGTAGTGTCTGGCCCCCCACAGCCCAACTTCCAAACCCCATCTTTCTCTCTGCCCCGTCCTGTTGGGGAGAGCTCCTGGCCTTCCCGACCTCAGCCCAGGAGCCCACCTCATTCTTCTCTTCCTGACTTGCTGCTCTGCCACACGATTCCATCTCCCCGCCTGGGGTCTTGGAAGGACCTGGATACCGGGCGTTTGGCTGCATGCTCCTGCCCTTTTCTGTGGCTGCCCGGATGTCTTAGAGCTGGTTGACAACGAGGGTTTTTTCAGTACACATCTGCAGCTTAGCGTATTTACACAGCACTTTCTATTTTAACCACATCTCTTAGCTCAGAATGAGGTGCTTCAGATAGTCAAAGCATGCATCTGTGTTCTGAGCCAGAAATAACTTGGGGCCATGCCGAAGCTGTCTCAATTTGAAGGTAGCACGCCACCCCTGGCCACCTTAGTCCTCCCTCTCTGACCTAAGGATGTGTGATATGGTTCTTCCTCTGGTCTTGTGGGTCAGTTGGTACCAAACGTTGAAGTTCCTTGAGCGCCCACTAGTGGAGGGCCAGGGCAGGAAGTGTGGAGCATGGTGGCCACCATGGATAATCCACAAAGAGGGAAAGCCTCCAAAACCAGTTTGGCTCAATGGATAGAGCGTCGGCCTGGCCTGTGGACTGAAAGGTCCCGGTTTCGATTCCGGTCAAGGGCATGTACCTTGGTTGCGGGCACATCCCCAGAAGGGGGTGTGCAAGAGGCAGCTGATCAATGATTCTCTTTCATCGATGTTTCTAACTCTCTATTCCTCTCTCTTCCTCTCTGTAAAAAATCAATAAAATATATTAAAAAAAAAAAAAGAGGGAATACTTGGATCACAAGAGTGCTTTTAAATACATACTGGCTGGAATTGGCTTATGTTTCACATCGTGTGGCCACCTACCTTCAGGGCAGTGCTTCCTGTTCCTTTTAGAAACGTCTGTGTTTCCCCCACAGGTGTAAAGATTTCTTTCCCATTTGTCTTCCAGCCTCAGAGAGCATGGTCTCCGGCCCCGCCATCATGGAGGACGATGACCAGGAGGTCGATTCGGCGGATGAATCGGTCTCCAACGATATGATGACTGCCACCGACGAGCCCTCCAAGATGTCGTCTGCCGCCGGGCGCCGGATCCGGCGCTTCAAGCAGGAGTGGCTGAAGAAGTTCTGGTTCCTGCGGTACTCCCCGACCCTCAACGAGATGTGGTGCCACGTGTGCCGCCAGTACACGGTGCAGTCCTCCCGCACCTCGGCCTTCATCATCGGCTCCAAGCAGTTCAAGATCCACACCATCAAGCTGCACAGCCAGAGCAACCTGCACAAGAAGTGCCTGCAGCTGTACAAGCTCCGCATGCACCCCGAGAAGACGGAGGAGATGTGCCGCAACATGACCCTGCTCTTCAACACCGCCTACCACCTGGCCCTCGAGGGCAGGCCCTACCTGGACTTCCGGCCCCTGGCCGAGCTCCTGAGGAAGTGCGAGCTCAAGGTGGTGGACCAGTACATGAACGAGGGCGACTGCCAGATCCTCATCCACCACATCGCCCGGGCGCTGCGGGAAGACCTGGTGGAGCGCATCCGCCAGTCGCCTTGCCTCAGCATCATCCTGGACGGGCAGAGCGATGACCTGCTGGCCGACACGGTGGCTGTCTATGTCCAGTACACCAGCAGCGACGGCCCCCCGGCCACAGAGTTCCTGTCCCTGCAGGAACTGGGGTTCTCTAGCACAGAAAGCTACCTCCAGGCGCTGGACCGAGCCTTCTCCGCCTTGGGTATCCGGCTGCAGGATGAGAAGCCAACCGTCGGCTTGGGCGTCGACGGGGCCAACATCACAGCCAGCCTGCGCGCCAGCATGTTCATGACGATCCGCAAGACGCTGCCCTGGCTGCTGTGCCTGCCCTTCATGGTGCACCGGCCGCACCTGGAAATCCTGGATGCCATCAGCGGGAAGGAGCTCCCCTGCCTGGAGGAGCTGGAGAACAACCTGAAGCAGCTGCTGAGTTTCTACCGGTACTCGCCGCGGCTCATGTGCGAGCTGCGGTCCACGGCCTCGACCCTCTGCGAGGAGACCGAGTTCCTGGGGGACATCCGGGCTGTGAGGTGGATCATCGGTGAGCAGAACGTCCTCAACGCCCTCATCAAGGACTATCTGGAGGTGGTGGCCCACCTCAAGGACGTCAGCAGCCAGACCCAGCGGGCGGACGCCTCGGCCATTGCGTTGGCCCTGCTGCAGTTCCTCATGGACTACCAGTCCATGAAGCTCATCTACTTCCTCCTGGACGTGATTGCTGTGCTCTCGCGCCTGGCCTACGTGTTCCAGGGCCAGTACCTCCTGGTGTCTCAGGTGGATGACAAGATCGAGGAGGCCATTCAGGAGATCAGCCGGCTGGCTGACTGCCCGGGGGAGTACCTGCAGGAGTTCGAGGAGAATTTCCGCGAGAGCTTCAATGGCATCGCCGTGAAGAACCTCAGGGTGGCCGAGGCCAAGTTCCAGTCCATCCGGGAGAAGATCTGCCAGAAGACTCAAGTGATCCTGGCCCAGAGGTTCGACTCCCGCAGCCGGATCTTTGTGAAGGCCTGCCAGGTGTTCGACCTCGCCACCTGGCCCAGGAACAGCGAGGAGCTCCTGAGCTATGGCAGGGAGGACATGGTTCAGATATTTGATCACCTGGAGGCCATCCCGGCCTTCTCCCGGGACGTCTGTCGGGAAGGGCTGGACCCCCGGGGGAGCCTGTTGATGGAGTGGCGAGAACTCAAGGCCGATTACTATACCAAAAACGGCTTCAAGGACCTGATCGGCCACATTTGCAAATACAAGCAGAGGTTTCCGCTCTTGAACAAGATCATCCAGGTCCTCAAGGTCCTCCCCACCTCCACCGCCTGCTGCGAGAAGGGCCGCAATGCCCTGCAGCGAGTCCGCAAGAACCACCGCTCCCGCCTGACCCTGGAGCAGCTCAGCGACCTGCTGACAATCGCCGTCAACGGCCCGCCCATCGCCAACTTTGACGCCAAGCGAGCCCTGGACAGCTGGTTCGAGGAGAAGTCCGGCAACAGTTACTCTCTGTCCGCCGAGGTCCTCAGCAGGATGTCTGCACTGGAGCAGAAGCCGGTGCTGCAGACAGTAGACCACGGGTCCGAGTTCTACCCGGACATTTAGGGAAGTGGCGTCACAGAGGTCACTAAGCTGTTGAATATTTTTTTAATCTATACTCACAAGCTTTGATATATTATATAAATATATATATATATTATATTATATATATTAAAAACCCACACTGAAAAAAATTTTTTAGAAACCAAGGTGACACATCCACCAGAAGCTACTGGGAACTGTCAGAAAGGAACCGTGTCAGAAACTGACTCTTGTCTACAACATTCGGCAGCTGCAACCTCCGTGGCAACTCATTTTCACTCACAGAAGCATGTGCCGGGGCCACACGTGTTCCCACCGACCGACCAGCCAACAGCATAAGCTAAAATGACGGGTCTCTGTCATCACCTTTAGGTAACTCACATTGTCCCTGTTCTTGTCTGGGCGGGCGAGGGGCTTGGGTCGGGGTTTAAGTCCTTGCCTTTCCTGTTCTTGTTTGGTTTTGTGATGGGGGTTTCTCAGCCTCTTTGTGGACATACTGGTCCGGCTGAGTCCCATCTCTGATTTTGGATAAGGGCAGGTTGTGTGTCTGGATCAGGTGTTTTGACTTTCTCTCCCACCTGACTTCAGCTGGAGAGATTTTTTTTACTCATTTCTTCACTGTCTTAGAAACATGTGTTGGTCAAACTGTGACACCCACTACTCCCCACCTCTGTCGCCAATCCCGTCCCTGGGTTGTTCATTCCCTCCTTTCAGATGCCCCTGGATCCTTAGTACCTATAATACTGAAGGCAAAACTGCCTGCCAACCGAGCTTGAAATCCTGGGGAAGGGAGAGGGGGTGAGCATGTTGCATTCCTGTGTTGTTGTTGTTTTTTTAATAGTGTGGGATAAAATAATCTGAATCCATTCAGATCCAGGGCTGTTGGAGAAATGAAGAGCCGAGAAATCCAGACCCCAAAGGGCTGTGATTTATTGGCTAAAAATAAGTAAAATGAAAAAAAAATGTATTCAATTTACATAAATTATTTATACTCTATAATCATATAATGTGGGGGCGGGGTTTTTGTGGGTTTTTTTTTTTTTTTTTTCCCTTTAACAATCAAGAAATACCTGCCAGAGTTGCGTGGCAGGACATGTCAATACAAGTTGTGCCCTGGTTGTGCAAATGAGAGTCTCTAGAGATTTAGTCCTTTTTCTGCAACAGGCTGAGAACCAGCCCTACCCCCTGGCAGGAAGGTAGCGGGAACCTGGGTGATGCATCTATGCCTGTGAACACTTCTGTTTTGAACAGGGTAGAGATGTCCTAGAAGAAAGGAATAAGCAAGGGGTAAGATAGGACTCTCAAGGCATTAGCCTACACACACACACACACACACACACACACACACAACCACGATATAAGCTTTAGAAGTAGCCACTGGCCCACTCCCTGGGGCAAGTAGTGGTTTAAGCTACAGGAGTCAGATCAATGCTCTTTCATTCATTTAACTACCGGTATACCTCGCAAGGGAGTTTTGCTTTTTTAAATGTGCTTGAGCTGTTAGACACTTCTGTTCATGTTTTCACACTTGGTTTATGCATATTGGATATGCAGAGATCCTGTGTCATGGGTGCAGGTCACATTTGGGGGAGGGAGGAAGATCCGCATCGTCTGTGGTCCTTAGAAAGCCACCCCTCTCAGCTGACAGAGGTTGAGCAAGGGATCATGTGATCTGGTCCCAGGGTCCCCAACCTGCGTGGCTCAGACATGATCAAACTGTGGCAGCTTCCTTCCTCCTGGTTTATCTTGCCTCCGAGGCCTCATGCCGCCGTAGAGAACATAGTGGAAATGTCATCAACACTGAACATGTCACTCCCCCATCCTGTCCTGCCAGAGTCCCTTCACCCCCAACAGGTCCCTTCCCCCCACCCCCATGGTCTTGGTGCTAAGATAACTTTAGAATCATTGCTGCTAGTGGATAGCTTTTCATTACATAAATATATATTATATATATATATATATATATTATATATTATTTTTGAAACTTTTTTTTGTTTGTTTCAACAGTGATGTAGCATGTTAAAACAAAAACAAAAACAAAACCTGGTTTTCTCTGACAGTCCCACTGCCAGGCCTCATATGCTGCCTTCTTCAACAAATCAATGCACCCCTGCCTGTGACATTCAGCCCCCGACTCCCTTCCCAGTCACACGTACTTCCCCACCTTCCTCTGAACAAGGAGAGAGAAGAAACTAGCCAGGAGAGACCCGAAGCTCTTTCTGATGCTTTGAAATTCCCAGCCTCACTCCACTTCCCCAATTTAAGCTGGTGTCTCCTCCCCCGACTCCACTCTTCCCATCAGGGTCAGTAACTGTGGTCAGGTGGGACGCTATTGCAAAGCACAGGGTTCCACCTTTCCCTCCCCGGCTTCCTCTCCACCACACAGATGGAGATGTGTTGAAGGCAGAGGTGGATGGCAAGGTGGGCGGGCCTCGGTGGAGGCAGAAACAGTAGGTTGGGATCCGTTCTTCTAGCCAACAGATGCCTTACACCTTCTCTTCCCCCACACACTGCATTGGTACCCTCTGTGGATAGCCCCCCTAAACCAGTGGTCGGCAAACTCACTAGTCAACAGAGCCAAATATCAACAGGACAACGATTGAAATCTCTTTGGAGAGCCAAATTTTTTAAACGTAAACTATATAGGTAGGTACCTTGTTCTTAACTTAATTAGGGTACTCCTAAGCTGGCCTTGGCTAAAAACTCAAGGGGCCAAAGAGCCGCATGTGGCTCTCGAGCTGCAGTTTGCCGACTACTGCCCTAAACCACTCATTTGCAAACCGGAGAGTATCTGCTTGAGTATCTAGTCAGGGGCTGCGAATGTGTCCTCTCAAGAGGCCATGGGCAAACTCCGTGTTTATGCCCAGGGAACCACCCTTTGGGCCAGTGCCAGTTTCAGCCTGTACCTTCTGAGACAGCTGGGAGCCCGTGACCTGCCTCTGGGCTAGAAGCATGAGCTATGGCTACAGGTGGCCAATGTCCAGCCAGGGTCTGAAACAGAGAGGATGAGCTCTCTGGAAAGCCTTGAACTTTGGCAAGGCTCCCAACCTCTGAGTGCGCATGCCCTTGGCTGAATTCAGCTAGGCAGTGTCAGACTCTCTGAAGGCCACTTTCCCTTGGGACAGGGAGTAACCAGGGAATAATTGGGGTGACACACCACTGCAATTTACACAGGGGCTTGTCTCAGCCTGGATGGGTCTCAGGAAGCTCAGTGCTTCTGTCCTGGGCAAGGGGCATGTGACTACCGGTGACTTCTGTCCATTTCCTACTCTCTGCTTCCTGAGAGGGACTCTTGGGTTGATGGGACCCTTGGGGTCTAGTCCAGGGAGGCACATGCTTGGCTAACCTACCCTTCCTTTGATGGGTATAAAACATGGTTGGCTGGGCAGTTGTGACATCCCTAATGTGGTGGATTCAGACAAGACACAGCCCTTTAACTCAGCCCCTGGCTTAGGAGTGACAACCATTGGCTTAGAATAAAAGGTTTGTGTCTCTGGGCTGGAGACTTGTCCTCATTGAACTTTCTGTGGTTTTTGGAGGGGGTGGGAAGTGAGATCAGGTTTGGGGGGCGGGGGCAATCATGCCTAGCAGATACATTGCTGAGCCTGGGAACCAGAGGCCCTTGTGGTTAAATGATGTGCTTCTCCTCTCCCCAAAGGAAGAAAATAGCCCATTAGCATCCATGAGGACCGAGGACAGCCCAGTCCTGCCTAGAACTCTTGCTGTGTCAGAATCCCCACATTTTGACTGCCTGGTTGAATATGAGTTCAGGCATGTGAATCACCAGGGGTTTTTTTTATGTGTGTTTTTTGTTGTTTTTGTTTGTTTTCTTTTTTGTTGTTGTCATTGTTTTTGTTTTATGGACTGCTGGCAACATCCTATAGTACTGGGTGGAGCCTGATTTCCTCATCCTCGCTTGGGAAGGAGAACAGGCTCCAGCTCCAAGATCCCTGGACAGCAGGGCTCAGTACTGGACCCTGAATCCAGGGCAGTTGGGGGTCTTGGCCCCAGCCCCTCCTACATGCTACCATGTTGGGTCGTCTTGCCTCACCCTTCTCCTTGGCTTGCTTCTGTTGACCCTGTAATCTAGAGGAAGGACCTTGTAATTATTTGAGGTAATGTTGAAATGCTTTTCACATGGAAAAGCAGTAGAATATGCTGAAAATGATCATGGAGAGAGCTATCATGGTTGGCTAATCTAGCCAGGCTTTGCCCGGCCTAGGCTGGGGGGCTAGCATCACTTTGGCTGTTCCCTGGAGCCTCCTGGGATCCAGCAAGTGGCCTGTGGGGGGGTGTTGAAATAGAAATTCTCTTCTAGATTCCTCCCCGTTCATTTTTCCTCCACGCCCTCTAAGAGCAGGAATTCGGTACCTAGAGCCGGTTTGGGCTTACTGCCTGAATTGATTTCTAAGTAGAATCTGTGCTTTTTCTTGGTCCTAACACCCAGTTCGGGCAGAAGGCTCCAGACCCACTGGGACTCACGCTCCCCACCATCCTTCTTCTGGGGGCAGGCCCATCCAGGCCGGCCTGGGACAGCCCAAGCAGGGAAGCCAGGGCTGCTTAACCAAGAAAGGCGTGTGTTCCCAGGCAGGTGAGCTTGGGGCAGTTCCATTCTGGATATGGGCCTCCTGGAGGTGGGCCTGGGTCTGAGGTTCCAGTCTGGTCTTGAGGGAAGATTATGTCCAGAGACACGTAGGGCCCCTTTTCTGGCTGGAGGAGGACCCCCCTCTGGTCTCTGTTCTGGGTGCTTTAGCTGAGTGGATGGAGCTGTGATATTTCATGGAACCTTTGAGGTGACTTTTGTGTGTTAGCCAGAGGGAGTAAAAGTGCCCTTTGGGGAGGAAAATGGTACGGCTCACCTCTTCCACCTGGCTCTCCCCCACCCCAATCCCTTCAAGTGGTATCGCCCTAGAAATACCTATGCAATCCAGTCTCCCTAGGAGAGTGCATGGAAGCAGGGGTATGTGCAGTGTATAATACAAATGCTACAGCATATATATTGTATATATGGACATATACAGTACGTATACACAGAGTAAGAGATTGAATCACGTCTATATATCTATAAATAATATCCTATATATTTATACATTTTTATGTTTTAAATAGATATAAAAATAGAGTCTATAGAGAGCTGGGAGAGCAATGGGAAAGCCTGTGTTGTGCAAAGAGGGAGGAGGCAGAGCCTTTTGCAGGCACTGAGGAGGGAGCTAAGCAGGCAAGGTTTGCCAGGAATGGGGCCTCCTACCCCAAGTGGTGGAGAGGAGCATACCGGGTCCCGGCCCTCTCCGTGCACTTTCTCTCCTTTCCCACAGGCTTGGTCTGAGGTTGGAAGGAGATACTCACTCCCTGAGCTCCAACTGAAGTGCCCCCTCCATCCCCCCTGCCAGCCTATGGTGTGGTCGCTGCTGCCTGGCAGTAGGTCGCGATCACAGACCCATGGTGTAGGGATCACTGCACAATGTTCCCTAAATACCCTCGCCCTCCCCTCCCCCGCCCCTGCCCCAGGCGCGAGCAGCATTGGTGGCCATAGGAAAGGTGCAAATTGGACCCAGAGCGGTCCAGGAAAGATGCTGCCGCTCCCTCCCTCCTCCCACGCTTCCACTGCCCCCTAGAGGCCAAACCTCTGGATTACCTCCCTCACCCACTCCATCACTGTCGGCCAGGGACTGGAGAAGTGAAGTGGGCAGCATGAGCATCACCAGACGGTGCTGCCCACCATCAGGAGGCTTCCTGGCCAGGGCAGGAGCCATCAGCTAACTGGGAGGGGTGGTGGGGGGGAATATATCCGCACACTCACGAATTCAGTAGCAAATCCAGTTCCGAAGCAGGGCTCTGGCCCAGCCCACTTTGCACAGCTGCTGCTGCTGGCTGTTCTCAGGACAACTCACTCTCTTCCCTCTCCTGCACGGAGGCCCATCGGCCCCTCACGAGGTTTAGTCCACATACACTGTTCTGATTCTGTGACTCGAGGCAGAGGCTGAGCCGGACGCCCCCATGAGGGAGGGCCGGTGCAGCCCCGTTGGAATCAGAAGCCCGTTTTGCTTCCAGGTTTCTCTCTGTAGTTTCTTTCCCCTGAAGGCGGGAAGGGGGAGTGGATGGGGTTGCAGTCGAAGGGAGCCACAGGGCAGCTGCGTCCTCTGTGCTCCAGACCAGCCTCTGCCTCTCGGCTCTCCCATCCCTGAGCCCCGTCTTGCTCTTCCCCACCATCCTACCAACGGACCTCAGTTTCCAGCGGACCCACCCCTACACCCACAGTCTGGGGCGGGTCTGTTCTGCCAATGCCCACCTCCCCTCCCTCCGAGCCCTCCTGAGCCACAGCTAGCTAGCTGCCCACCGGGTCTTGGAACACCCTCAGGGCCTGGCTCAAGAAAGGCCAGGCCTGGCCCAAGCCTTCCTCCACCGCGGTGGATCAGACCCATGGCCAGGGGATGGGCACCCCCGGGTAGCAATCCCACAATGCACTGTACCTCAGAGAGAGAGCAGCCAGCGGGCATCAAGGCACCGAGCCGTCCGCCCAGGGACAGCCGGCTGCAGTACTGCTTACAAAGAGACAAGGGCCAGGCTGCCCTTGGCACCCTCCATCTCCACTCGCCTCTCCGGAAGAGCCAGCAGTCTGATTACGTCTTTTTCAGCCCCCGTCTCTCTCCTTCTCCCCACCCCCACGCTGCTGAACCATTTCATTTCAGTCATAAAGGAAACATAGAGTGGGGGAGGGGGGGTACCTGGGAGTCTATTATCACATACATATGACTATGTTAATACTTTCTTTCTTAAAAGAGAAAAAAAAAAAAAGATCTCGATGTTATTATTTTGCAGACTACGCTTTATAGTACCTGTGTGACGGGACCTAGAACACTGGATACAAATAGAGCTATGTTGTTTTATCATAATATGTACGCAGAACCTTCCTTTTGTCATATTATCCTTGTAATGTAAGGAGATTGTTAATAAAAGCATTTGAATTTACTCACCAAGGTTGGATCCCCGCCTCCTTGTCTCTATCGCTGGCCGGTGCTCAGGTGGATTCTAACGGGTCCCTTCTCAGTGCCTCTGCCGTCAGGTTAGCAGCCTGCCTGCTACTAGCTTAGACGGAACTAGAAGAGGCCCCGAACCCCTTCCTGCTGCTCTCCCTTCTCTGCTATTCAAGGCCACTTCCAATGGGTCCCCTTCAGGCTTCATCTACTCATCAGGCCAAACAGAGGTGTAAGTGAAGCCATTCAAAATAAACCTACTGCCCAGCCGGGATTGCTCAATGGTTGAGCGTTGACCTATGCACCACAAGGTCGCCGGTTCTATTCCCGATCTGGGCACACGCCCTGGTTTTGGGCTCTCACCCATGAGGGGCATGCAGGAGGCAGCCAATGGGACGTTCTCTTTTGTTGATTTTTCTCTCCCTTTCCCTTTCTCTCTTTCAAAAAAAAATGAATAAAAATACATTTAAAAAAATAATAATGAATAAATCTACCTACCCCCTAATGTATTTGTCCTATAAGAATCTCTTTGAGAAAACACACAGATCTATTGCAGATAAAAAGTTGTTCTAATTCTCTCTCCACTGCCTCCCATGATTCTCCACGTGCAAGCCAGGTCCCTGGGGAGGGGTCTTTTCCTAGTAGTTCCCAGTGATGTTTTACCCAAATTGTTTTAGAAAGAAGATGGGCATAAATGTAATGAAGGTACAGGGGAAGTGTTTTTATATTTTCCTCCCAGATGCTAATCTCTACCCCTACCCCATCCTGTCTGCATCTCCCACTGGCCTCCCCTTGTTCCTTTCCTTAACCTCTCCTTCTTAGTGCCTGCCATTCCCCTCCCAGCAGGTGTCCCTCACTGTGTGGTCACAGTGGAAGTCCTGGATTTTTCTATTCACCTGTCACTGTCTCGGTTTGTTCATTTGATCAGAATGACCCTGCACCTGATTCCTGACTCCGTCTGCCCTTGACCCTGCCCATTCTCTATACAAAACTGAAGGTTGGCCCGAGTTCTTTCCCCCCCCCCCCCCCGCCCCGTCCTCCAACTAGCTTTGGTGCCTTGGTTAATGCCTGCCCCAAGCCAGACAGGTGCCCCCTAACTCCCCCTGGGAAGAAATCTTTTCCAGCTCCTTCCAGCTTAGTGATTCTCAGAGTCAGTGGTTCTGGATAGCATTTTGAAGCTACTGCCTTGGGATCTGTTACCTTCCCAAGAAAGACACTTGGTCGCTGGCTAGATGCCAGAGCCTGGACTTCAGGGTTAGAGGTAGGTATGCCCGATGCAAATCCCCCCTCTGCCTCTTAAAGGCAGTGAGATCTTGGACAAGTCACTTATCTGAGTCTGTGTCTTTAGTACTGAGCACAGAGCAGTGGGTAATTCATGCTGACTGTTTCTCGTTATCATCGTTGTTGTTACCTCTTAGATCAGGATGGCGTAGGTGCTCAGAAGTGATGGGTTTCCTTCTTTCACCTAGAATTCCTGCTACCCTCGTAAGGGGCTGCCCATGACTTTTATTACAGAGCCTCTAACTCCTATCCTGGCAGCCAACATGGACACCTCTGCTGAATGGAGAACACCTGTTCCTCCTCAACCCAGAGAGAAATCCTTTATCTGCTTTAACAGTTCACCTCACCTGGCTCTGGGTGGAAAGGGACAGCATAAAGGTTTTGTTGGTTTGTTTGTTTGTTTAGGCTGGGAAGACAGGTTTCTTCTTGTTTGCCCAGGTTGGTCTCCTTGGGTTTCTGAAATAAGATTTCTGCCGTCGCCCACTTGTCAATGGGATGCCCTGGAGCACCGGGGAGGGAAGCCATGCCCCAGCCTGGGCTGCGCTCACAGGAGATCGCATCCGGCTGAGGACCAGCCACCACAGGGTTCTGATCACATGGCGGCCACCACAGGATCTGTTTCCATGGCAATGTATGGCTTCCAGCCTGCAGGACTGGCTTTCTCCCACCTCCGCCCAGGTAGGCGCCTGCCTCCAGCTCTGGCATGGGAAGCTGCCGATGGACCATCTGTGCTGGCTCACCTGCAGGAGATGAAGGAAGGAGCACAGGAGCGGCACTGCAGCACTCACACCAAGAAAATTCCCAGCCCCCTCAATCCATCCACAGCTCCATCCTGTGGCTCCCTCCTTGCCAGGCATCTGCCCCGGGAGGGAGACAGAACAGATGCTAAGGATCTGAGCTCCTGCAAGTGGTGGTGCTTCCATTGGCTCTAGAAAAAAATAGAAACTCTTGGGTGGAAAATTACCACCAGCTCCATTAGCAATTAAGAAAATGAGAAGGGACTGACTCACAGCCTCAGTTGACATTGCATATTGTCTGGAGGAGTGGGTGGCTGCCAGGAGGACTTCAGAAGATGCCAGGGAGGGTTACCGACATGGGGCAGGGAGGGCAGGTGCACACATTCCTGGGTTTAGTTGGTTTATGCACAGATGGGAGGCCAAAATATGTGTGAAAAGTCTAGGCTACAGAATCACAAAATGTTAAAACGTGAATCTAGGAGGGACCCGAGCGATCATTTGACCCAAATTCATTTCACAGATGTGGAAAGTGTCGTCCAGAGGCAAGAGGCTTGCCCAGGGCCATGCGGGTGGCTTGTGACACAGCCAGGCCAAGCTGCAGGTGATCAGCGCCTACATGCAGTGCTCTTGGCTCGTTCTATGCGCAGGAGCAGAGTGTACTTAAGGCAATTCAGTGGAAAGCCTTGTATAAGGTGATCAACGAATCTACCTCCCTGTCCCACTTCTCCTTTCTATAAATCCAGACTCTCAGATATTAGCTTTGGGCTCTGATGGGTCATATGCATAGTTACCTATGAAACATAGTTTATATAATATTTGGCTATATGGGATAAAGCTCACTCCTCCAATTTTATTACGAAAATAAAAATCCTGGTTGTCATTAACATGTGATATGTATGTAAATGAAAATAAGGAGTTATATGCACAGACGTGGAAAGCGAAACATTTCATGGCTTCCTTTACGGATTATTTAAAAGATCCTTTTAGTTTTAATTACATGTGGCCTGGCTAATTTCCTACTGATTTTAAAACCCAGGCCCTGCCCCTAGCTTAAGGCCAGAGCCCCTCCCTCTGTACACCAGGGCTGCAGCAGCCACCAGGAGGGCCTAGGGGGCAGGGCTCAAGGAGTCCCCGTGTCCCTGCCCATTACCTGGAGTACAGAGGTATCACCGGCTGCTGCATTGACTCTTCCAGAGTTTTTGATTTGGGAGATTAGAGAAAGGAGTCTCTAGTCTCCAACTGATTTTTCTTCTCAGCAATGAAGTCAGAGCACCCAGACTTGCATCCCTACTTGTATAAAGTCCCTTTGATTCTGTGCTCAAGCAAGACCACCAAGGTGCATGCAGGCATGCGCACACACACAAAGCAATCTATGATCTAGCAATCCCACTCCTAGGTGGATATCTGAGAGAAGCTTGCACAGACACCCGCCCCGGGAGGGAGACAGAACAGATGCTAGGGATCTGAGCACCTGCAGTGTTGGCGCTTCCAATTGGCTCTAGAAAAATAGAAACTCTTGGGTGGAAAATTACCACCAGCTCCATTAGCAATTAGGAAAATGAGAAGAGACTGACTCAGAGCCTCAGGTGACATTGCACATTCATAGTGGTTCTGTAACAGCAAAGTAAAGGTGAGGGGGAGGAAGAGGGAGGGAGGGAGGAAGGAAGGAAGGAAGGAAGGAAGGAAGGAAGGAAGGAAGGAAGGAAGGAAGGAAGGAAGGGAGGGAGGGAGGGAGGGAGGGAGAGAGGGAGGGAGGGAGGGAGGGAGGGAGGGAGGGAGGAAGGGTGAAATAAATAAAGGAAACCTCTAAGTGTATATCAACAACAGACTGGGATTGTGGTATAGCCATACAATGGAATATTATACAGCAACAAAAAATGAACTGAACTGAACTGAAGCTATATATGTGTACATGAATAAAGCTCAAAATTGTAGTAATTGAAGTAAAAGCAGTGTGATGAAATTTAAATTAAGTTTTAAAACACATAAAAATACTCTATGGCACCCAGGGTTTACACATGCATGCAGCAGAGGGATAAAGAAAGGCTTGTGGTGAGAAATAAATTCAGGATGGTGGTCTCCTTAGTAAAGGGCTGAAGAAACTTCAACTGTATCTGTCAAGTTTTATAAAGCCTGGCAATGGTTCATGAGTGTTTATCAAATTATCACGTCCGCATCTTATATCTCTAAAATGTTAAGTAAAAAGAAAACAACACCAGGTAGTTAACCCAGTTGGAAATTATTTATTTACCACTGAAAGGTTTTTTGCTCCAAAGTGTGACACCAGACATATGACTACAATGTCTCATGCGTCTTTTTTGTGCTTCAGTTCATAATTGCAAACAAACACACACTTAGCATTGACAACAGGAAACACGGGCGACAGAAACAAATCACAAGGGCTAGATCTCCTGTTTTCACGGTGCTCACCTCCGTCTGGCTTAGGCAATAGCTACCTGCCACTCAGGACTCCTCACATCCCAATGGAATTGCCCCATCTGCCTCTCTACATGGGGTGATTTGTAACTCAACCCACAGCAAGAGCCATGTCCCAAATAGAAATGGACAGACGCGTGCAAGATCTTGACCAATATGCACTCAACAAATGGATATTGAGGTGATATAATAAGTGGAGCCAAGATTAATGAGGGTGGACTCCCAATTCTTTATTCCTATCGCCATATCTACGAAAGAACCAGATCACCATGTGGGCAACAGCCATTTGGAGATAGTTTCTTACTTTATTTCCATCTCTGCTTCGTGCCCTTCTTAGAAAACACGCCCTGGCAAAGGATCAGGTGTTCCTTTCAAAAAATCAAATGCACAGACCCAATTATGCTAATTGGGTAGTAAATTGCAAATGTATCTGGTACTAGGTAAGCTGATGTAAAGAGCTCTGACGTTTTTTGATTTGGCAGTCTGATATCTCTGAATAATATAAAATTCACCAAGACGAAGTTTGGGTAGAAAAGCACAGCAATTCTC